TTTATCATATTGAGATGATATGTTCTCCCTATATGGACAATCTAAAACTGCTACTCAGTTTCCTGATATTTACACATTTTATACCCTGCATTACTTAAGGAATCCCCAAGTCTCTTCATAATCCCAGATTCCAGAAGAACATTTGTTTGAAACTCAGGTAGTTTCAAACAAAGAGAAAAGAATTACTTATATGAAAATTTGAAAAGATCAGTATAAAGTGAATCACGAAGTAAGCAAAAACTTTCCTTCCTGAAAATAAGTGCTGTGTTTGAAATTTGTTCATCCTCTTTCTTCTCTTGTCCCAACTCTTCCTCTTCCACCCTCATCCTTTTCCTTCCTTCACAAGTTATCCAGTCCCTAGGCAATCAGATGAGGCTCAGGAAGGCAGCCATCTGCACCAACAGAGAACAAGAGAAGCAGGAAGCAGCATTTGTGCAAGAGAGACAAAACTGGGTGTGAGGGGTGTCCATAATGAGGAAGCCAGGCATAGGGGATGGCTGGAAGAGGGACACCCACACAAATGGCAGCCTCACATGGATGAAGTGTCAGAGCCTGAGCTGGGGGATGGCAAAAGACAGCAGGCAGAAAGCTGGGTATGGTGGCAATCCAAAGAGGAGCCCAGTGGGCAGACATATGGGGGCTGAGAGTTAGCAATTAAGACAGGAAACATATAACCTCAGTGATTGATCACATAAGCAAATAGATCAGGAATCATGAGAGAATCAGGAATCACAGGGGATTATTTTTTCTCTGCTGGCCAAGGGAAATATTCATATAAAGCCAAAGAATTTGTTATCTAAGTATATATATATATATATATATCGACAAAGCTGTAATTGTGTGGGTACCTTCCATTTGGTGAAATAATACCCTACACAGTAACAAAAACACCTAATATCCAGATCTTGCCTCTAAAGAACTCCCTGCTAAAAAAAAAACAGGGCTGGCACAGGGAAAAACAATATGATCCTAAACCAACTTGTGCCAGAAAGTAAGAAAGTGCCCCAAACATGATGGGGACATGTCAAAAGTACAGACATCAGTTTCACAGTGTCCACTGGATAAATCTGAGACTGTGTGGGCATCTAAATGAAGTGATGATCATGGCTTACTATCTATCAAATGAAATAGAAAACACAAGACTTTATGCATATACTGGAATCAATTGAAAGTTTGATGAAAGACAAGATATATGCCTAGTTTCAAAGTACCTCCCCACATAAGTAGTACTAACAGAGAGGAAAACATTAATTTCAAAATAAAAAAGTCTGGAGGGCAGTGGCATTGCACAAATCAACACCATTAGCAACAGGACAAAGTAGATTTATGAGCCCCCAGTAGGACTCTATGACGACACACCCACCATCACTGATTTCCTGACAAAAATGAGGAACCTGAGTCTGTTCACAAAGGAAACAGAGACAAAATCAAGTTGGAAGATATTTTACAAAATAATGCATCTGCACACTTCCAAAGTGTTAAGCTCATGATGGGCCAAAGAAAAGAACTGTTCCAGGCGGAAGCCAAGCACACTGGACACCATGTTGAATGCATGATTCTGAGCTAGACACTTCCACTAGAGAGCACACTGTTGGCAAAGCAGGGGAACTTGGACAGGGCCTGAGAATGAGGTGGCAGTAACAGACCAGTATGAATTTTTCAACTTTGACAGTTGTATTACGCAGAACGGCATTGTAGAAAACACACACTAAAGCATTTGGGGTGAAGAGACATCAGATCAGCAAATTATCTTTAAATGGTTTAGGAAAAAATAATTCTCTGTACTTATTTGCTACTTATTGGTAAGTCTGTGATCATTTCATAATTAAAGTTAAAAATGTATTAAAGATTATACTTTAAGTTTAAAATGTGTTAGGCAATACCACCCATAATTTTTAATTATTGACTATGTACTTTAAGGCAAATGCTGGCAAAAAAACTTCCTAACAACAATGAACTCTGTTATGCAATATGGAAAGGGAACAAGGTTTTCTCTTCAGTCATTATTTTGGTTAACAGATAAGTACTGCATGCTTTCAGCAGATTGCCAGTGTCAAAGTTACAAAATGAGACAAAAATTTTATTATGGACCTGTGCTCAGCCAAATGCTTTCTTCTGTTGTAGTTCAGAAGGCAGGGTGGTGCTGGCCATCTCTTTCCATTCACCTTTTGCTTTACACAGAATTGTTTTTTAAAAAATATATCATAGCAATTTAACCAACAAATTCATAGCATTTTAACTTATATACCATGTTTCAATAAAGTGTTTCTTTCCCCCGTCAAGCCAGTGGTATTTTTAGGTTATATTTCCAGCAGTTGTTGAAAGGAGTGAAAGCTCTTTTCTTCATACTTTGATGTTTATCTCCAAGCCTTCCATTTTAAAACCATTGGCATATTCTACCTTTCCCAGCGCTTGCAATCAAATCATTACAAAGTCATTTCTGAAGGCATGGTGAATGGACTACATGTTCTTTTCTTTTAAATATTATTCTTCTGTGAAATAATAATGAGGCATTTTTTATTCTTTCTGCTATTACACAATTATCTTATCACTGGCTATCTGCTCACTCACCTGAAGTATTTTTTTCTTTGCTGGTTTTAGTGAATGAGTAAATAAAAATTGAAGGTTACATTTTTCCATCTTTTTTTTTACTAACACAAGAAGATAAAATTATTTTAGACAACACAACACAATACAGATGCAATGACCCAGAGTACATCTGTTCTTTGTAAAGCACTTACTTTTCCCTTTTCTAAACTCCGCTTGATTCTTATGGACAGGGTTTAAAACCGTTTCTTCTCTTCTAAGATTTATTTTATTACATCTGTGCCAGCAGAGACTTCATCTATTCATGAAGGAAATGAAGAGATAGGTACAAAGTGTTCACGGATGTTTTCCAGGGGAGCTCCAAACCATGAAGGTGCTGTGAACCATGAAATATTTGATGGTCCTTCTGCTGGTGAAGGAGGACTTTCCCACAGTTATCCCCAGAATTTAAACTCACTGAGCAGATTGTGTACTTGGTGCTACTGAAAAAACACACCCACACACTGATGTGGATGTGCCCACCTAATGTTGAGTTTACTAGGAGGGTAGAATTGACAGGAGAAAGGAGAAATGCCCCATAAATACACCGAGGCAAGGCTGTGAAATGTAGTAAAAAGAAGTGAGACCTGGGGCAGAACATCAGTACAAAGGAGAATTTCTCAAACATCATCCCAAGTATAGTTGGAATATTTTTCTTTTGAGTAGTTGGGGGCTGGGAGAAGTGAGAGCTGCATAAGGTTAAAAGTTCAGGGGACCTCAGGTACAATATGTGTGGTGATGGATGTGTTGACTAATTTGCTCATTGATACACAATGCATATGTGTATCAAATCATTATGCTGTCTGTGTACCTTGGACATAGATAATCTTTGTCAGTTAAATACTTCAAAATACAACATTCTATCTCTGTTCTTTCATTTGATTAGCTCCTGGCCAGCCTCCATCGGTGTCTCAGGTGGTACAGCTCCAATGCACAGTGTATAATTGGAGGCCACTGTCTTCACACTCAGTGCAGACAAGGATGCTGGTGTGGTTTGAATCTAAAAAAAATCCCCTGAAGCTCATGGATTAATCCATTGAGCTAACAGCTGAATGGGCAGTTAGGAGATAGGGTATGGATGCAAGAAGTAGGTCTCTGGGCATGGCATGTGCCCTTGGATGGTATATGTTGTTCTGGGAGTAAATGTCTCTCTCTCTCTCTCTCTCTCTCTCCCTGCCTCTTTCCTTTTCCTTTTCCCTTCCCTCCCTTCTACCACATGGTAAGGAGTCACTTGGCTCTGCCATATGCTCCTGTCACCATGATATTCTGCCTCATCATTCATGAGCACAGAGGCAACAGAGTCAAGTGATCACAGACTGTAACCTGTGAACTGTCAGCCAAAGTAAATTTCCTGCCCTTAAGTTGTTTTGCTCAGGTACTTTGTCACAGCAATGCAAAGTCTAGCTAGTCCTGAGGAACAAGATATCATGAGCACTAGGAGATGAATTCTGTCAAAATGGATCCCTAGAAAGTTTTCAAAACAAGGGAGATTCATACAGGCCCATTGGTAAGCCTCTAGTTCCATCTCTGGTTTACAAATGAAACAACCCATAAAGTGCATAAAAAATAGCTTTGTCAGAGCATGCAGGACTCACATGAGCCCTGTCTCAAAATCCCTTTTCCAGGGCCTGAGATGTAGCTTAGTAGTAGAGCACTTACCTTGCATGCACAAGGCCTGGGGTCACCAGAAAATAGAAACAAAATAAAATTCCCTTTCCAATGCACAGTGTTGTTCATAACTGTGACTCTTAGCCTCACAAGTTCATACCACAGCCACATTTGTTTCGTTTCACACAACAAAGCAAAACATACTTTTTACAAGTAAAAAAGAGACTGCTAGGAATAACTCCAAACCATTGACCCTCGTGTTTATAGATATATGTAACAGCAAATCAAATAGCTTTTAAAATGCTTTTAACTAATGAAATAGAACAACTTCTTTGAAATGCTGTTTATTGTAAAGCAAAGCTTGCTGTTTTTTAAAGCTCATAGACCAGCCAGAAGATCGAGAAATGGAGAAATTTCTTTGTTCACTCTAAAGAGGGAGGTGGGCAAGAGATATGAATTTAATTATAGAGCATCTCACTCTAAAAATGAGAGTGCTAAGTTATAATGTGGAGTAAAATCTCTTTTAATCATCAAATCAGATCACCAATTAGCAATCAGCAAAATGGACTTGCCTTACCGAAATCTATTAGCTTCCCTATTGCTAATGCTAAGTGACTCTTGGCCCACTGATGAGGTGGGTTGACTGGGCATTACCTAGTGATACAAAGGGTCAATGACAAGGAGGAGAAAGGAGAAGCTTCCAGGTCACAGACTACAGGAACACCCTGGACAGACACCTGGCACCACCCACCTACACCTCACGGGAGGTAGAAGGTCATCCGCTCCTGATTTGGAGAGGCACCCACCTGCCAGACCAGGTGCTCCTTGGCCCCTGATGTTGCAGACAGGCAGACGCTCAGCACGATGGTGTGGGATGAGGAGGTGAGGACGCTGGCAATGATGGCATCTCGCATGTTGAAGGGCAGCATGGTGTAAACCACGAAGATAATGAAGAGGAAGAATGACACCTGGGGTGGGAAGACATACATAAAGTGTTATAGAGTATCTGAGTAGATCCTCAGGGCTTCCTCTTTCCTTTCCATTAAATGTGGCAGAAAACAATCTGTTCATTTAAAAAAATGTTATGACAAAATGGGACAACACATTGAAATAAATCCACAGGGTTACAAGAAAGGATTAATTATTGTAATAGCGAGAAAAGTTCTTGTTTAAAACTAGGGGGCTTTTAGTTTTGGTGTCCAAACAACTGCAGACATGAGGTTAACCTGGAGGCAAAGCTGGTCTTAATCTTCAGCCTTTGGCATCTGTGCTCCAGTTAGGGAAGGTAAACACACAGGGCCTGGATGCTGATGGTTCATCTGTTGCAGTTTGGTACCTCCAGAAAAGGTAAAATACAAAACAACTATATGACCCAGTAACTCCACTTCTGGGTATACACCTTAAAGAATCAAAAACAGATTCTCAGACAAATACACATCCACAAGTGTTCATAACAGCACTTGTATCACCGCCAAAAGGCAGAAACACAAATGTCCACCACGTGGATCAATAGCATCTGGTATACCCGCACAATGCAACATCATTCCGCTGACAAATGGAATAAGATACTGATGTGTGATACAATGTGGTGAGCCTCAAAAAACATTACATGGAGTGAGTGGAGATTGTGCAAAAACAACTCAAACGTGTTGTAGGATCAAATTTATAGGAAATATACCATATAAGTAAATCCATGGTGACACAAAGCAGAGTGGTGGTTGCCAGGGACTGGGGTGGGGTGGGATGGTAATGAAGAGTCACTGCTTAATATGTATAGTTTCTTTTGGGGATGGTGAAAAAGGGTTTGGAATAGACAAAGATGCTCATTGTACAACACTGGGAGTGTATTAAACGCCACTGCATCCTTCACTTTAAAATGGCCAATTTATATTATGTGAATTTCATACAAAAAATGTGATATCACTTAGAGAAAGGTTTGAAATGCAAAAGGAAATGCTTAATACATAACAAAACAAATCATTTTCATTACAAAAGAAGCAGAGATGGAAAAATATCAAAAAGAAGAAACAAGTGATAAATCAAGTAGAAAAAGGACTGAATTCAGGAAAACAAGGACACAGGCATGTGACCCACTTATCTACATACCTTCTTTCAGCTAAGGAAAGTGCTTGCCCTACTTCCACAGAGGGGCCCCTGTTACATGAAAGAAACACTAAAGCCCAGCACAGCTGGACGGGCCCAGAAAGATCACCCCAGCTGTTCCTGTGCTTGTTCCCAAGCATGACATGGACATCAGGCTCTGTTCCAGATGGACTGGAAAAGAGTGCAGCTTGGGGGACACCAGCTTCATCCTCCTCCTGCCCATTCACAGGAACCTGTCCCATATTTGAACTTGAAAGCAACTCTGTCACCATGTCACAACTCCAGGGTGCTGTCTTTGTGTAACTGTCACAGATGAAAAAACTCATGGAAAATGGATGGATCATAGCCTAAAAATAAACTGAGATCCTAAAACATGCCCTTTGATTTTCTTCAGGGTATTCCAACCTGAGTATCCATTCATTACACAAATACCCATGAGTTTGCCTGAGGAGGAATTGATTCTGGAGCAGGAGGATAGATGGCAGAATCCCAGCTCTCAGAGACTTCACCACTCGGGAATAGTTGGTCCTACACGCCAGCTGTCAATGTACAGTGTGCATATCTGGCGATAAGGCATACCCTCCCCATCCAGCCTCACTCTGGGAACTCTAAATCATCTTCTCTAAGTGCTTATAAGTTCCGTCGTCTTGGAATGGCAGCCAGGGAGAAAGCCACCATGTGTGGGCCAAGTGACCAGGAATCCTCTTCAGAAGCTTGGGTTCGGCATGGACCGTATGTTTCATGCCCCCGTTTCCTCCCCTTCAATCTATATTTATAAGGGCCCCTCAGGCCAAAAGATGTGGGTGAGCAGATTACCATAGCAATATTTTTTCTAGCAAATATTTTCTCTTTTACATCTTCAAAATAAAAGACTATGAAAATGCTTTATGAGTAAAGCATTATTACTTAGCACAGCATACACCCCATACATTCTGTTCTGTATGTATAATGTGAATCCAAGGTCAAAACTTTGGCCTTAGCTAGCTTACATATCAACACGCAGAGCACAGATGGAAGAGACCAGGCACTGCTTTTAGGGAATTTCATGCAGTAAGCAGTAATCTGCACAGGCAGGAAGGGACAGGTCCCTCACATCGTCTTCCCAAAGAAAGAATGTACACCAAAAGGTCTTGGAAAGAATAATAATATTTTAAATCTACTAATAACTAGCGCCAATATTTACTGCATGCTTGGCACTCATGTCCTTCGCAGCTAATCAACAGATCTGGGTGAGAGTCACTGAACTGTAGGACAGAAAACAGCAATTGCAGTGTATCCCCAGTTTATGGAGAAAATTAAGTTTACTTTGGAAGCTGTAATACCCAATGAAGTTATAGGAAAGATTTTCAATTAAGATACTGTTCTTTTGATGCACAGTATTCATACAAAAGCCTTAAGTCCTGCAACAGGCATTTAGTCTTCACCACAGCACCATAAGCAGCTGTTGGCTCAGCCCTATTTTGCAAAAGGGTTTCATTGAACCAGAGGAATCAGAAACTTGACTGATAGACAGTTCAAAATTGGTCAGTGTTGGAGCCCAAATATGACTCCCAAGATCCAATTCTCCCAACTGTTCTAGGTACACAATACACATATTTCCTTACTGTAGGAGATAGAAATTTCATTAATTAGGAGAAGAATTTTTACTTCAAAATGAAGTATAACAAAACATCAAGTGCACGGCAGCCATTTCCACAACTCTGAGAATGACATTAAGCACTTTTAACCACACTAAGTGCCTGGCACTGTGCCCTGGATTCTGAATTCTTCCAGTAAACAGGACTCTTTTTCAATAGCCATTTCAAAATTGCTAATATTTCAAAGATATATTCCTATTTCCTTCATGTTTTCAGATTTTACTTCCAGGGTGTATTTATAGGATCATTATGATAAATAAGAATCTATAATGAACATTTAGCAAAATTGTAAGTTAGGGAAAAAGAGCCATACTAAATATTTGAAAAGGAGGAGCAACACCAGAAACTTTGAATAACAGTACAGGTTCTATTAAAGGGGATCTTGGCCTCAGCACTGTTGACATTTGGGACTGGGTTATTCTTTGTCCTATTCATTGTATGGGGGTGAGCAGCGCTGCTCATGAATGAGTTCCATTCATGAGATGTCAGTGACAGTCCCCAAAGGTGCAACAACTAAAAACATCTCCAGCATCACCAAATGTCTTTCAAGGGCAGCATAACTCGTGTTTGAAAATGGCTGAGTGGTAGGAAAGGTTTCTTTCAGGCATGAGAAAAATGTTGCATAAGTCACTGCTTACTGAGAAAACAAAATTTACTTTGAAATTTCTACTATCCTCCAAATTCAAAGGAAATATTTTCAAGTAATATATTATCTTTTCCACACATAGACTATGACACAAAAACCTTCTCTTTCTAAAAGTTGGTAAGTGGATATTTTCAGATACCAAAATCAACAGCCAATTTCAAAAAGTACCTCTTTTACAGTTGCAAATGTCTTTAGCACTGGTCAGCAATTATCAGAACTTATGAATGGCTTAATTTTGGACAGCATTAAAATTCTAACATCATTTCCATTAATAAAAACTTCCACAAATATTTTGAGCTTTGAAATGTAAACATGTGGAAGATAGCCACAATACCCAAATGAAAAATAGACCTTTGGTTTTCAAAATACAGTAGCTTCTGTGAGGGACACACTTATAGATTACAAAGTGAATTTTCTAAAGGTTAGTTAAGCAAATTGCATTAATTTAGTGGCAGTATTTCAGGATCTCAGCTACTGGTGCCTGAACAGCGTCTGCAGAAATAGGTGGAAGAAAGTCAACTTACTTCAAGTTCAGGGTGGGGGAGGGAATGTTTGCCACGCCTTATTAATCACACAGGGTTCTAAGTTTTTAAGCCTGCTTTCCAACACAACTTCAAATAGGACCATATGTAAAACTAAAATGAATTTGGCACATCTAAAGAACGTGTGGGTAAAATGCTCCAAAAATTCGAATGCAATCTCTAGCGTTTTCATGTTACCATGGCGATAAGATTCCCCTTAGATATACCTCTCTGTCCACAGGCTGAAAAGGGTAGTCATTGATCAGATTTCTGTGACCCTGTGTGGAAGCCCCAGGTGAATGCACTCATTCCAATAAAATAGGCTCAATTGTGTCTCCTCACCTCAGATTTGCATTTGACTTTTGTAAGACATACAGATCTTCACAGATAGCCTACTTGAACCTCAAATTGCACAATTTTCTAACCAAGTAAGAGTTTCTTTCTATGTTCTTAAACCTCTTCCTCCTTGCAGGATAACTCCTTTCTGCCTGTGGTGAGGGTTTCTACTCACCTAGGTGCAGACTGTTGAGAATCATCTGACAGTGCTTTCAAAAACTGTGTCCACACTCAAAAACTGTGTCTTCTTACCTTAGACTTCAGCTTCCTGCCTCTGGCTGTCTGTTCCTCTGCACCTTTACTTCCATTACACTGACTCAGTGCCTTTCCATTTAGAAAAAAAAAGATAAGTTTCTGTATTTTCTCCCATTTCTTCCCATGCCTCAACAAGAAAAGTACAGTGTTTCCTTCTTCTTTGCATCTACTCAACTTTTTTCTCCATTAGGACTCTTCTGGGCACCTGGGACAAGTTCACTTCACTATTTTCTTTTCATTTAGGGGAAGTCTCATGACTTGCTTTGACAAATGAAGCAAGGGCAGAAAGTGATGTCTTTTCTGGGTGGAAACTGTAAGGTAGTGCATACTTTGCCATGTCTCCTTCCCTCCCTGGCAGTGACAGGATCATAGCATTGGAGCTTCTCTAGCCTCGGTCATAAAATGAAGAGCAGACCCCTCAGGTAACCCCGAAGGCACCTGAAGTCAGGTAATTAATTGATGAATATTTG